TACATATACTTTTGATACTAAATTCACTCATTATGAGTTTCTGTAGAAAATCATATTTTCTTCCCTTCTATAAGAATCTAATCACTTTGAATCTTGGCATAACACACGAAGCTTAAAGACCTAGCTATATGATTAATTGGAAAATTAAGTCAAAGTAATTGATACTTCATTATGTATATGATATGTGAATGAATGGATATACATTATTTAGCGAACATCAAAGGGTTTGATATTGCGGGTGTCTAAAATATCATTCTATTGATATTTTTTTCGTGTCTTTAGAAACTTAATTAAATCACGTTTTCTGAGAAAATTATGAAATCGTATAAAATGTATAGACCACAATTTTCTATACCTGAACAGTGGAATCAATTCATCAATATAATTGTTGACGATAAGGAACTCTCGCTTAATAATGGCGTAACAACAGCCTTCATCGGCATCATTTTTTAAATGAGAGCGTTCAATCTTCTTGACGAACTACTAACACTTCTAAACGGCTGTCTTTATAAAGATTTATGTCTCCTTCTCGCAGCTACGTCACTGTCAACACTGAATGAGGAGGAATTAAAAACACAAGAATTTGTTACCATTGGGAGATATCCTACGGTTTGAAAATCGATTGAGTTTTGTCGTTTTAAAATCGGCGTCTATAATTTTGTAAAGTCAAGACAGAATGCTGGCCTCTCATAGTGAAGGCATTTTCATTTGCTTTGAGTGATAGAATGAAATGCAATGTAAATAAATAATTAGCAATGCTGCAAATGTCAAATTTTATAAATGTTCAATATGATTAAGATACAAATCTTCTTGTGCTTTTATACTTTGCTATTATTTCGTATCAAATCAGCTAGAATAATTACTTGTTGTTCAATGTAAATATTACCGACAGTATAATTCAACATTGGTTAATGTAAATGACCAGTAATTAGTGAATGGTTAAGCGCACAAGCACGTTATTTGAAACGAAGAGCATTGTTTCTTTTGTCTATGATTTAAAAAGGAGGAGGTACCCATCTTGTTACATCATATTGAAAAAGCGATAAATTTATTCATCCATTTGACTCTGGCAGACATAAAATAATCGCCAAATAATACATTTTGATTTACCAACTTATTTGTACTTAAATCAGTCTTTAATTTAAGGTATAATTATATGTATTTCTAGATAGATCTTTATGTATGACTAGTTTCTTGGTGAACCATCTAAATTTTGACAATGATTTACTGTAATATGTTCTTCCTCTCGTTATACCATTTCTTTACATTTTCAGATCAACATCTTTGCTTTTTTGTTGTTCATTATTATAAATGTGAATACCTGCTTTGTAATTATTATAAGCATCATTGCAAGCGAAAGTGTTATGATTATCATGTTTATTTATTGGTTGATAATTGCTTGTACTAAAGCTTGCATAAATATCAATTTTTATTGTGATATATGATGCAACTACTTTCACTTTATTAGAGAAATGGAAAATTTGATTCATATATTATACTTCATTTAATAAATCAATGACGTTTGCTGCATATGGTTAAAATTAAAATTGATCATTAGCTGTAATTAGAACAATATTATGAATGTAGACATTTTTGAGTTTCTAGATTTATAGCAATTTAGTATAGAATATATTTATATTCCGAGTGAGTATAAAAAAGTTCAGCGCAGACGACATTGTCTGCATTTATAAATACGTGGCAAATTTTATGTTATATTTTATAGTCACTTTTTATTTGTTTTCTATATCCACACTGAATCTAGTAAGATGTTTTATGTCATTTGACAATAGGCAAACAATTAGATTTGCTATTAAATATACAAAAGAAAATTGATTAACAAATAAAACTGTAGAAACAAATAATAAGCCAATAGAATGTCAATAAGATTAGATTGCCAATAACATGACAAGAAAACATAATAATGATCAAGAAAAGGCAGGATATGGAAAGAAAAGAAAATGGTGTAGATGAAATTCTGTACTTCTTTAACTAACGAATCATACAAATCGTGATCAAAATTAAAATGATGAATTTGTTTATAAGACCATGTTATTCATATTCTATAAAATGATATTTATAATGACAAATACAAAATATAGTCAGTTACTTTGAAATAAGTATATTTGCTACTAGAAATGCAATTATTAAGCGATTTCCCATGACCTGATATTGTCGTCGAATTGGAATGGACAGAACAGAAAAGAACAGAACATTATTTTATTTTGACTTGTACATAGTACATAATCATAATCATACATAGTGAGATAATACATTGAAAGAAATGCATAAACTATACATTTTTAATAATAATTTTCAATGAATTAAAACAAATTTCACGTTACTTTAGTAATTATTCTAGAATGTTATTTCAAATTAACAAAAATAAAATTGATATTGTAGTGTTAATGATAAACAGTTTTAAACATAATGAAATATATATGTTTACATAGCAGACATATCATCAGCAAAAATCTACACAAAAACTATTGAATGGGATTTATATATTCTTTAATAAAGACATATATATTCATAAATCATAGTATTTCTGTAATTTAATGAGATTCTTTTATATATTTTACCATATTAAAAAATATATTCTTTTGAGTGTTACATAGAAGTTCAATAAACCTAATTTTCTTTTATACGAGGGATGATCAAAAATTAACCGGACTTTGTAAATGATTCTTTACCTGTTAAATGAATTTACATTAAAATACACGGAAAATAAATCGGAATCTTTCCCCTAAATGATACAAAAAATACCAACAAGAAATATTAACAAAGAAAAAAGTTATGCTGTTATTGACATGTACATGTAAAGCAATGCGGCGCACGGTATAACTTTAAAATTGACGTTAACGACGTCACAAACGTATTTTCCTTAACGGAGCAGCTTTTTACTCATTCATGGTGTAGGCCAATATGTGGTACAGTCATGTTGTTGATGCGGTGGATCCACTGCCTATATATATTTCTATACAAGTCGGTATCATATTGTATTGTAATAGAATGAATGGTGATAAAGAGCTCCTGTAATGACGCAAACTTCCGTTATTTCCTTCTGTAACTTGATTGTTGAAAAAAATCGCACATGCAATTAACTATATTATGTATTACAAATAATGTAAAATAATGTTGCTGAATGATAATGTATCATACATACGAAAGAATAACAGAATAATACAACTATGATCAAAATTGTCATAATTTTAAATTAATTAAAACGCATAGCCGATTTGAACAATGACTGTTAAATTGTTGACTCAATTTCTCCATAAGACTACTGCGTAAAATAAGAAAATAATTGATACAATTGTTAACCAAGAATACAATACATGTAATTAATGCATTAACTATTATCATTTTAAAATCCTCAGAGTTGACTGCACCGTCCCGAAGCTACTGTCGAACATCGTTGACAATGTCCGCAGTCAATCGACTGTCATGTTTCAACGTCTTGGCGATTGACGTCACCAACGTCCTTGAAATTTTCTTTTTTTCTGTCTCTCCCTTACTTGTTTTCTATTTCTCTATTATCCTTTCTTAATCCTTTAAGCTAATCAAAAATATGCTTGGAATTCTGGAACTTTTCCTTTGATAGCCATAATCTTTTTCTACGTTTTAAACAGTTTCTCGTCTTACATTTGACAATTTTGACATATTGATCGATTTTCGAGACATTCCGACGACATAGTTTTAACGCGAGTATTTCACTAACATGTGACCTTTGAATTGTGATTGTAAATATAAATATGGTTTAAATGAGGTCATTTTTACTGACAACGTCAAAGATATGGTTCATGACGTTTTGGCGTATTTTGAAATCTAAATGTGCCATATTGTAAAATACACGCAGCATAAAGTGCCTGATGTCAAGGCGAATTTACGCACTGCGCCGGGTGTGTGTTACCATGGTTTTTGAATTCGCTGTTACGAACAAGCTATTTGCGTTATCAGATTAGATATAGTATCAGTTTACAGGTATTGTTTTCCGGTTAAGTGTGATATATAACAATAAGTGATAGGACGAAAATTCTTCAATTGCCAGTCATAGTCCGGTTTGTATATCTTAATAATTTATAAAAAGATGATATCTACCTAAATCTCCGTATACGCTTGCGTTACATGTATTTTGTCTAACATTTATAATTCTTTTACAAAATTGCATGTGTATACGTTCCATCTCTTTGGACTTATTAAGGCCTCAAATCTCTGAAGAGTATGATAAAATCAATCCAACAAATACATCAAAAAGCTGACACAATAATGTGGGTTTAAAATCAAAATCTTTACAATTATACAATAACATATTTAAAGCTTTTAAAGATTTACCAATCAAATGTTCCCTGTGCATTGAAAAATTACCAGTGTATCTGAAAACTGTGCCAAGATAATTAAAATTGTCTACAATCTCTATTTCTTGTCTGTTATAAAACCATTTTTCATGGTTAAAAATATTTTCCCTTTTTCTAAATATTATTATCTTGATTTTTTCAATACAATGTACTAACTTCTAATCTCCATTCTATACAATAAGTATACAATATATCAAGGCTATTTTGTAAATCATCCGGGCTTTTGCCTATAATAGCCATATCATCTGCAAAAAGTAACTAGATCAAAATAATATCGTTAATTAACAAACCAGAACTTATGTTGCTTTGTAAATGTAGCTCTAAATCCTCTTCAAAAAGGGAGAAAAGTATCGGTGAAATTACCTACCCTTGTCTTAAGCCTACGGCATACTTAAAGAAATCAGAATAACAATTACAATATCTTAAGCATGACTTAACTTTATTATACATATCTCTAATGATTCGCAATATTATACAAAATGTACCTTGAATGCCACACTTATACATTTTCAACAATAGCGAGTTTCTACATATGACATCAAAACAAGATTTTAAATCAATAAACCCTTTCCTTCAGCAAAGTTATTTGAATTACAATGACACATATTCAGTATTTCACATGGCTGTTTTCATTTATTTTCAGGGAAGTTGTTTGCAAGACTGTCTTTCTATGACAAGGACAGATAAACAGTATGAGAAGAGGGACCATCAAGAGGTCAAAACAGCTGCTTTCTGTGCTGCTTTTTATATTGGCATTTACCTTGATGACCCAAGGTAAAGTAAAGTTAAGTAAAGTAAAGAGGAAAATATTTATTATTTTTAAAATATGAATCGCAACATAGATAAATTGAGTTTGTATAAAATGTTTGAAAAAAAGAAAAGAAAACTATATTATGTTTAACAACTGGGATCCCACGGAGGGCCTCGTGCTGCAGACCTCTACTCTGATTATACGACCCTCGCATTTTAGTTACTCGATTACTGGCAACAGACTTAGCATGTTATTTCTCTTACGTTCTGTGCTATGTTACTCAGTTATCTCCTCCTATAGACCAATCAATTCTATTTTTTTCAGTTACATGCCTAGCTAGCATCTCGGTTATTAGTAACTTATTATTACACTATATATGACTAGCGTCATCTAACTGGACTTGTCAACACAGTTATCTCATGCCAAACATAACAACTCAGTTTTCTCCATGTTCGGACATTCTTCTCATGTAAATATCAAAATAAATCCCGTCCATTGTGAGGATCTTTTATTGCAGACTAAGGGACCTTACGCCGCTTTTCATGGAATGTTACAAACGTCTGATATTGAAGGATCAATGATTTTTGCTGCATGAATACATTTGCGACTGTTTCTAAATTTCAAATGACACCACTTTCATGTCCAAATGTTAAATACTGCTTTTGTGGTACTAGATGGCGTGAACGGTAGTTTGCTCAATTAAATCGAGCCTGTTACATTTTCAATTTTGTCTTTTGGGGCGTTTTTAGGGTTGATATATTCGACCTGCTTATGAATGATTATACAATCAAAAGGCTACAAGCTCTGTGGTATTTTCTGATCTTTGCAATCTAAATCGTTTTGTATATCTATATGTATTTTCCTGTATAAGTTTATTTTTATGTACTATAATTCAGCTTGCAGGGCACCACAGTTTGATACATACGGAATTTAACAAGACTAGAGTTGAATAAAAAAAATCATTCATGTTCATTTTTTTATGACAGCCACACTTTATCCTTGCATATCAGGACTACTTCATTTACAAAAACACTTAAATAAATATAAAAAAAATAGTTGCCTCGACTGGGCTTTGAACCACAGACCTATCACGCACTAAACGAGAGCGCGTTATAGGAAGTCAAACGGGGAAAGTCTGAATAAAATCAAGTAATTCTAAATTTAGAATTTCCATTGCATTTCGGGTTTGTAATACTTATAAATTTCGAGGTATTTTGTTCACGATAAAACTGTGATGTTTAACTTTGATGTGAATAATTTGGCGAAAATCTTCTCGCCAAAACAGTCCGACATGTATATATTCCACTACTTGACAGTCAGATTTATTTGTGTAATACGCTTTGAAGTATTCGATAATCGACAGCGATAAAAATAGCAAAATCACATTCATCCGCGTAATTTGTAATTGTGCATTTATTGAGAATTCTATACGCCAACGCTACGTTTAAACTTTCACTGCGTTGTAATTTGTTGGATACTTGTAACAAGATAAAAATATTTCTTTCTTTTAAATCGCTAATTTTAAGCTGTTTTGAGAAGTACTTGTTGTTAGGTTTGTCGTGAAGCGATGTATCAGAGATTGAATGTCAGCTTTATATTTCCTGATCTTCGATCAGAAAATACAAAAATCATATATATCTCATACCACTTTGTTTCAGCATGAAATGAAAGAACACGTAGGGAGTAAACATGTATTAAATCGTTTATTAAAACTTTTTACAGCTTTTTATGTCATATTTTAAAAGACGGGTTGATTTACTTTAGTAAACTCATATCCAACAATTGATATTTCAGAGCAAATAATGATGTATATCAGTGACGTCATGGCAAAAAATGCGGATGTATTAAGAGAGGGTAAATCAAGATATGATCCTATCAGAAGAAATGCAAGTGCACTTGTCTATGAAAGAATGTTTCTAAATTTAACAGTTTCCTCATTCATGGACACGGTAGCACTGTCGTCAACAACAACGACAACTACAACTTCTACTACAGCTGAGTCTGTGAGCATATCATAATTCCACAATTGTTTACAGAAGCAAATAATTTATAGTTCCTTGCATAAATTGAAGAACATTCAGGGAAAATAAATGAAAGTGTAATATTCGTTTTTGTTCAATAAACTTCTACTATAAAATTAGCTATTGCCTTAAATTTTATTGGTACTTGTGGCTAATAAGTGCTTTACATGTTTTTTTTAAATCATTTCAGAGGAAGTATAAAACGAATGGGGAGAGAAATGCAGCACGTACCATTGAAGTTTGTAAAAAATATCAGAATTTCCAAGATAAAGAATTTCCTATCACTGTAAGATTTAACAGAAATAAATCTTTACTGTTTTGTCCTATATATAAAGTTGGCACCACGTTTTGGAGACGTGTTCTTATGATAGAGAGGGAAAGAAAATATTCGAAACTTATCAATCCATATGACCTACCATTTGACAGAGAATATCCTTCAACAAAATTGATTTGGAGGGAAAATGCAACTAACGAAGTTTACAAAGTATTATTTACTCGTGATCCTTTTAACAGATTATTCTCTTTCTTTGTTGATAAAATGCTTGCACCGAATCCTTTTTTCTGGAAAAGTGTCGGGGTGAAGGTCGCTGTCCTAACTAGAGGAATTAAAATGGAAAATTTTAGATCTGTTTGTGGCCATGATATATCATTCTCAGAATTTATAAAGTATGTTATATACACCCTAGAAACAAGAAGAAATATTGATCCACACTGGGTTGAAATGAACAAAAATTGTCATCCGTGTGAAATTAAGTATAACTTTGTCGGTAAAATGGAAGAATTTCAAGAAGATTCTATTCAGATTCTTACTAAACTTGGATTAACAAAGATGGTTTTATTCCTTAATACCAGTGGAAAAGATGCAGCAGTTGATGATGCAATTAAAGATACATTGAATCAGCCATTTTCATTTCATACTAAGTATAAATCGTGTGTTTCGTTCAAAGATGCGTTACTGCGTGCTTGGAAGAAGTTACAGATAAGAGGTCTGATCGGAAACGACACACTGGACGTGAGGCACATAAATGAAACGACCACGACACTTAATGACATGATAAAGCGTGCACATTTATCAAGACATATGTCATCATCAATCATGCGTAAACAAATTAAAGACGAAATGTACAGGAAATTTTGGAGTACAGTGCCTAGAGGGGATATTCAAAAACTTCAAAAACTTTATGCTGTAGATTTTGAACTTTTTGGTTATGAAAACTATCCGGATATACCACCTGCATTTCATTCGAGAGAAGCATAAGAGTGACTTGTGTTTTCTTTCAAATTTATTTAATAAAAGAAATCACTATATATAAATATATATCATATATATATATATATATATATATATATATATATATATATATATAATTATATATATATGCTATTCATTTAAAAGTAACAGGTGGCTAATATCTGTTATCGGCAAAGTTATTTAAGAAATAATATATCCCAAACAGTGATTTTATCGCTCAATAACATCACTGTTTTGAGTTCGGATACGACGAATTATATAATGATGCGCATCCGGACGACAAACAGTGATGTTATCAAGCGATAAAATCACCGATTTGGATATATTATTTCGATTCTAACACGACATCAAAGTAACAGATGGCTAACTTCTGTTATCGGCAACGTTATTGGGTAATCATAAGTTTGGTTGTTTTAATACGTTTTACGTTACACCGATACAGTAAGGTAATTATAAGTAAATGACATGACTCATTTTTAACAAATAAAACATGGCCTTGAGGGCAATATGCAAGTTTACGGACTGGTTGGTCAGACTGAGGAAGGTATATGGCCCGAAGCGCAGCTGAGGGACATATACCTTCCGAGGTCTGACCAACCAGTCCGTAAACTTGTATTTTGCCCGAAAGGCCATGTTTTATTTGTTATATTATACCGAATCTAAATTTTTTCATCCCTTTTGTTGCTTTCATTTTTACTATAATTTGCTTTCAAATAATAAGTTATTTGTTCACTGTTTGAAATATCTCAAACCATAGTCGAATTTTTTATGATTATTTTCAAGATTTTCAAGCGATACAGCAAAAAAAAAATCATGCTCTTCTTTTGTTATTCAATTTTTTGTTAATCAAATTAAACTGGCAAAAAAAGCCGAACAAACTGTATTAATAAAATTTATAATTAATTTATAGACAAATCATGACTTTTGATCAATATATAATAAATTTATGTGAAACAAAACAAAACAAAAATAGTAAAAAGAATCATTTTACAACAAAATAAAATATTATACCCTGTACGCCCTTCTGTATTAAATATGACGTCATCCGGTCCATATAAGAATTATGGACCGCCCCCGGTCTGTATGCGGTTTATGGACCGGATGACGCCATATTAAATATAGAGGGGCGTATGCAAATGAGGTATAATATACAGAAATAAATGTGTTGAAAGTACTTGTACAACTTTTTTAATTGACGGCACGAGTATGATCAATGCAGAGCTATGGTAGATTAGTTTTAAGTTCAGCCAACTTCTTTCCGCGCATCTTGACAAGTTCACAGAAACTTCATTAAAACTAATATGTTCACAAAATTTAGCTATAAACAAAATCTTCTTCTAATACTTTTACATGTAAAGGCACGGCTTTATGTAGGATCTGATTTCACAGATTGGAAAAGTCTTAACAGGGTTCTTCAAGATCAAATATGCAAAGAGAAAATTAAGTGATGCTCAGCCTGAACAAGTGGAAAGTATATATGGCCTTAAATGAACTGTCATCAAATTGAAACAATAAAACATTGATCTGGATTTAGAAAAATTTCAGTATTCCAAAAGCAAAAATTTGCTGTATTTTTGATATTTTGATTTTAGATAAGTGAAGTTGACGCGGCGTGAAAACGCAGTGGTATAAAAGTATGCTCCTCTTTTTTGTTCCCTGTAATTGTGTAATCTCACACAGCAGAAATATGATTTATACAGTAAAATCAGTCATTAATCTTACATGTTTTGACTTTTCTTAAAATATTAAAACATCTTTATAAAGTTTAATGAAATGTTTTGGCTCATCTGGAGACATCTTGCATCATTACAGAAAATTCAATGAAATGTTATGAAAGTGCATTTAATATCACTTTATGTCATTTGTTTTAGAATAAACGTTATGTTACATAAGCTTGAAAAGAAGTAGATTTGAACTGATTTGAACTGAAATGATGGAATAAATATTACTTATATGAAAATGAAAAAATATCAAAGTAAGTGCATACAAATGAATCAATATCCTTTAAAGATAATTACTTAAATGCAAAGAAACAATTGATATAAAACATTTAACGGCAAATTTCGCCCGTTGTTAATTCATACTTTCGATCTTCCGTTTGCTTCGCGATTCAAATTACAGCCCAAAGTAAATAATATTCACAGTCATGGCATAAAGGATATTTGTTTTGTATCAGTGCGAAATTAACAGTTGGTAAATATTGAGTGAGTATCAGATGCACATTTGTGCTGTGGCGTAACCCACCCCAATCCCTCGGATCCAACCAAAACACCCCACCCCAAATAAATAAATAAATAATAACAAAAGGCATGAAATGGTCGTGCCAATAAATTATAACAATTCACAATTAAATAAAACACCTAAAATATCGGAGCCATATAAAAACTAAAATATTTATAAAAGCAAGTAAAATTACACAATGTATAAAAAATCATGGAAGTTTTTGACACAAAAGTTTGTTAATAAATTTGCAACCAAAATTGCCTGAAATACAAGATACTCTTTCCTGAAAGATGGAAAATGACAACTCATTTACGTTTTTACCTGCACTGTCTGACACGTCCCTGAACGTATTTATTTAGACTAAATATACGCCAAAACACACCCGCAAAAAAGTAATAACAGGCGTCATGCCTCCAGATCCCGCTAAAGTGTGTCCTTAACAATCTTAAACCAAGGTACGCGTCTGCCGTGTGTAATAGTTTAAGTATTATTAATTTAAATATTACGTTAGAAGGCATGAAACAAACTACGTTAAAAAATCGTTACATTTGGATAGATATGTCGGCTTCTGATTATGTATAGGTTAGTGTTTAATAATATACATTAATTGCAATTTAAGGGTTATTTGTCCCGAAATCAAGTGGCTATAGCATTGATATAAAGACAAAATTCATTGTTTTATTAATTACATTAAACGAGAAAGAACAAAAAATGTATAACAAATGACATCTGAATTCTTAAACAATGCGGTATCTTGGTTTTCAAATGTTCATAACGCGGATTTTTTAATAACATATGTTCTTACAATATATTTATCTTCGTTTAAACAAAATCATAACATATCAAGTTTAAGCCAAACAATGTAATCTATACAAAAAAAAATTAAATAAAAAACGTTTTCCGATAGCCTTTATTTACATGTATCATAATTACAAAAGCTGAATAACGTGCTGGAAGAAAAAGTATTGAATAGGGAAGGTCATAAACCAGTCTATAATTTGAAATTATGTGCTGGTGGAATGTTTAGAGAATTTATACGGATTTTTTTTAGATAATTCATTAGTTTATTTATTGAAATCGTGGTAAGTGTCTTGATAAATTACATGTATCGCTGAATGTGAGAAATGGTTTATATGTGATTTCTTTAACTGATGTACGTATATCATATTTTCAATCATATATTTTCTTCTTTATATCCTGGCATTCCTAAATCATGAAGAATTAAAAACAAATGTTTGGTTTATGCCCCCACGTATGAGGGGTCTTGCACCTTTTGCAGCGTCTGTCCGTCAGCCTGTCCTTCCCGTCATTCTGACCATCCGTCTCGACTTTGTGTCCGGTTCATAATTTGGATTTAGAAATAATTTTGTATAAATGTGCGATGTGTTGCGCGCAAAATCGATTTCTTTGCTCAACGGTCAAAGTGTCAAACGGACAAGTGCTAGGAGCGTAAGGGATGCTGCACTTTTTCATTATCCCCCATGTACAGACTCAATCAAACCGAGTCCGCAATTTTCATGTAATTTTGCTGCTTTTAATTCTTCCGAGTGATATTTATGCATCACAACAGCAAGTGTCAAGTACTGAGTGGCGGCCGTAGAAAGTTGCTCCGTACTTCACTTCAGTGTTGTTATATTTTTATGGTCCTTCGGAACCATTGATTCCAACACTTTTAGTGTTGAGAACTGAGTACCGCACAAGCCGGTGCTATGTGCGTGAGGGATGTTACACTTTATCATTATAACTCATAAAAAGACTCAATCAAACCGAGCATGCAATTTTCATGTAAATTTGCTGTTTTGATGTTTTAATGCTTCCGAGGAATCACTTTTTTTCCAGATATTTTTACATCACAACAGCAGGTGTTAAGTGCTGTGTGGCAGCTGTAAAATATTTTTCTGGTCCTTCGGGATCATTGAGTCCAGCACTTTTAGTGTTGACTATTGAGTACCTCCCAAACCGATACTAGGGGGCGTGAGGGATCACTTGTTTCTATAAAAATTTATAGAATTCACTAATATTTGTGTCCGTGCAATAATTGTGTTATTCCTTGATGGATATAAAAGTCACTGAATCACTTTTTATAACAGTGTTGAACATTATGTCTATGTTTATTTGGAAAGAATCATGTCCTTAGCTGAAGGTCACACTTGTTGATCAAATGTCAAGATATAAAGCACTGTTCGTGTGTGTTCGGTTAGCAATTCTGGACAAAACATGTGTTGTAAATGATGACAAAGTGCTACGCGAAAGAATTAGATATTTAACACTAAGGTCAAGGTCACATTGTATTCCAAATTTATGATATGTCCTATCAACAAATCTGGCATTCTGAATGAATGATGGCGACGAGGCGCGCATGAGAATCAGGTTCCTAGCTCAATGGTCAAAGTCACACTTGTACGTCCAAAATCATGATATGATTTTTTCCATAAAATCTCACTGATGTTTCTGTCAGTCATTTCAGGTAAATTTTAAATTCCTCAACAAAAGTGTGTTGAACGTTATGCTCAAGAATCAGCTCTCCAGGTCAAGGACAAACTTGTATTCAAAAGTCGTAATATAATTTTGTACATTGATGGTCGTAGCCGGTCAACAAAATCGTCATTCCCGGGTGGATTTCAAAACAACTTGACATAAATATACTAAACGTTATGATGTAAGAGTCAAGGTCTCCAGTTCAAAGGTCAATTTCACCACTATACGTATTTAATGACATGGTCTTCTTTTTTGCATAACTTTGTTATTCATGGATTGACTTTAAAAAACAAATATAAATAAGCGTTTTATTAAGATGACATATAGTCAACAAAATTTAGTTCAGCAGCCCAAATGTTAAGGTCATATTTAAATGCCAAAAGTCATGTTATGATAGTGCATTGAAAGTCATATCTAGTCCATATCTTTGACAGCAACAGAAGATTTAGTTATACTTGACTTAAATATGTGGTACTTTAAAGCAATTTGTGATGAGTGACAACAAGTTTGTAGCTTAAAGATCAAGATCTCACTAAGTATTTTAAGGTATAGTTTCATAAAAGTACATTGATGATTGTAAAGTCCAGTCTGAAAACATTCTTTCTTTTATATGATTTCTTCTATATTATGATGCCTCGCGTATATGCATGCAAAGATCTTTTTTTCTGCACATATCGAGCAATACTAGATGCTTTTAAAGACTGATATCATTTATGGTTCCAGAGAAGTGGTGTACAAGATCGCATTTTCCATGAAAAGGTCACATCAACAGTATGAGAAGTGGGAACATCAAGAGGTTAAAACAGCTGCTGTTTGTGTTACTTTTTATTCTGGCATTGACTTTGATGGTCCGAGGTAAAGTACAGTCAACACTGAAAAGATGAGATGACTGACTGAGTTTGAAAAAAAGAGTTTATTGACTTTTATTAAACCTTATCTTCTTAGGACATACATTTAGCACTCGATAATTTAATTAGACAAGCATTGCAACTTTGTTTCCAAATTTGTCTTAGAAACTGTGTTAATTAATGTTTAAAAAAAAATAGAATTCACCATGTCATTGGCTTAGCCACTCTGTTATTTCATGTTTCAGGCATAGTTACTCAGTTGTCTTATGCTACAGGACCAGCAAGTCGGTAACCTCATCTTACACGTCAACCAACTCGTTTATTCATTTCTTCAGGCTTAACATCTCGATAATGTCATTTTTAATATTCGGTCATTCTATTCTATAGGCTTAGCAGCATAATACGTTATCTTATGTTAAATACCAAGCAAAACCAAACGACCAACCAACTCGGTTACCACATTTTTCATGTCAAAAAACTTGGTCACCGTCAGATAACTCTGATATCCCATTCTCAACGTCAAGCAACTTGGTTATCTCATTTTTCAGGTCAAGCAACTTGGTTATCTCATTCTTCATGTCAAGGAATATGGGTATCTCATTATTCATGTCAAGCAACTTTGTTATCTCATTCTTCATAACAAGCAACTTGGTTATCACTATGTACGGCCCTAGAACTAGCAGCTTGGTTATATATGTGTAGACCCTATAACTAGCAACTTAGTCATCTCTGGCTACAGGCCAGTTCGGTTGCTAGTATCTACAGATAAATTTAAATGGTTTTCTCAATTTAAAGACCTCGCAACTTGCTTATCTAATTCTACAGACCTGGCAACAGGCATATCTCTGACATAATGCTATAAAACTACTTTGTTTTATCATGCTATATGCACGAAATTTAGTAACTAGCATCTCATTCTAAAGACTTTGCAACTCAATTATTTCATTCTGTAGGGCCTTTCCACAATATAAGTCTAGCATCTCGGTTAAAACACTAAAATTGTAGTTAGTTTTAAACTCGTGAAATGTATTGCACTTGCACTTTTGGTTTTCTTTTCATTCAAGAGATGGCTTGTTCCCTGAACTTGTCATGTTTTCAGTTGCTAATGAGAGATGGTACAGAACGCAATATCTCTTAGAAACAACAGTTTAAATTTATATGACTGGTATGACCGGATTACTATATAGCTAATATGTGTCAAATTATTGCTTTTTCAGTGCAAATTCTGACATATGCCAGTGGACTCCTAACAAAAACTGTGGACGTAATAAATGCAAGTAAAACAAAAAATGTTACAATAAGGAGTTATCCACGTGTACCTGCCAATGAGCAAATGCTACTTAATTTAAAAACAACAACAACAACGACAAAAATGTCTGTGAGTAGAAGTTTTTCTTAAGAAAATATATTTATTTTCAATGTAAACTTTTTTAAATAGCAAAGTCTTTATAATAATCCATGCAACTGAAATAGAGGATATTGAATGAGTGTAGGGTTATTTCTAAATTTATTGAACGAGTTGAATAAAATCATATTATGCGAGCCTCTAGCGAGCATAGTATTGTTTTATTCAACGAGTTCTATAAATTTAGTATTGAATCTTCACGAATATAATATTCTATTTATCACATATTCAAAAAGAGAACGGTTTACAGTTAAAACTAGCCATTTTTCATGGACGTGCCTATAGTAGCTATGTTTATATATAGCGCAAATTTCGTCACGTTAAAGTGATATTACATTAGTGTAATATTGTTTCTATTAAATGGCTTTATTACACTCCTGCACCGCAGTTAATGTGATAAAAATAATACGATTGACAAAATTGTTTAAAAGGGTCAAAGTCAAAATGATGCTTGACTGTTACTAAAAAATCTTGACGTAATGTTATGTTACACAATATTCAAATCTAATGGGGGGGGGGTAATCATGACCCCCCAACTATACACCCTGTGTCTTCATTTTACCAGCAATGAACTGGTTCACGTTGTTTTGGCATTGTTTGTACTACGACTGTGCGTGTATCCTCGGTGTCAATTCAAACTAGATATTCACAAAAGACTATATGTTAAAATAGAGTAAATATGAATCCCTAAAGAAAGTCCAAAACGGCAAAATTGAAAATGCTGCGTGTCAACAAATAAGAAATTTCAATTATCTGCATCATTCTGAAACGAAAACATCTTTCTTTTGAGTCTTTTCGGTGAAATTATGTTAATAATATACCAGCTCAATCAAACCGTGCATGCAACCTTTACAATTTTGATGTTTTTGGGCTTTCTTTTTGGTCTCTGTTTTTCTCTATTTTAATAAGAAATGTCTGCCAGCTTTTACATTTCTGGTTCTTTTTTTTTCAGACAAAATTTAAAGCAAATGGGGAAGGCAATGCTGCACGGATCATTGAAGTTTGTAAAAAATATCAGAAAGTCAAAGGAAATGAATTTACAATGACTGTAAGATTTAACAGAAACAAAACCACACTGCTTTGTCCCATCTATAAAGTTGGCACCACGTTTTGGAGACGAGTATTTATGATAGAGAGGGAGAAAAAATATTCGAAACTTGCCAATCCATATGACTTACCATTTGACAGAGAATATCCCCAAACAAAACTGATTTGGAATGAATATGCAGCTCACGAGTTTTACAAAGTAATGTTCACTCGTGATCCTTATAACAGATTATTCTCTTTTTTTGTTGATAAAATGCTTGCACCGAATCCTTATTTCTGGAAAAATGTCGGTGTGAAGATCGCTGTCTTGACCAGAGGGCTTCGGAAGGAACGTTTTAGATCTGTTTGTGGCCATGATATATTATTTTCAGAATTCATAAAGTATGTTATATATACCCTAAAAACTGGACAAAATATTGATCCACACTGGGTTGAAATGAACAAAAATTGTCATCCGTGTGAAATTAAGTATAACTTTGTTGGTAAAATGGAAAATTTTCAAAAAGATTCTGCTCATATTCTTACTAAACTTGGATTAACAAAGATGGTTTTATTCCTTAATACCAGTGGAAAAGATGCAGCAGTTGACGATGCAATTAAAGATACATTGAATCAGCCATTTTCATTTCATGCTAAGTATAAAAAGTGTCTATCGTTCAAAGATGCGCTACTGCGTGCGTGGAAGAAGCTACAGATTAGGGGTCTGATTGGAAACGGCACATTGGACGTGAGACAAATAAATGAAAAGACGACACTAGATGACATGATAAAACATGCAAAAACATCAAGACATATGTCTTCACCAATCATGCGTAAACAAATTAAAGACGAAATGTACAAGGAATTTTGGAGTACAGTGCCTAGAGGGGATATTCTAAAACTTCAAAAACTTTATGCTGTTGACTTTGAAATTTTTGGTTATGAAAACTATCCAGATATACTACCTGCATTTAATTCAAGAGGAGCATTAGACTGACGTTTACTATCTTTCAAATGTATAACTTTATTTTTAAAAAATCATATATGCTATTTCATTCAAAAGTAAAAGAAGACTAACTTCTGTTATCGGCAACGTTTTAAATTAATTATAAGATTGTTTGTTTTTGTTTTAATAGGATTTGCGTCACAAGTAATTGACTTGACCCACAGGAATAATACCTGCTTTTCATCCAAGAGAAGAATTAGGCTGACTTTTGTTATTTTACAAATACGTAGTGATCGATATTCGAACCATGTGCATATATTATTAAATTTCAAAGTATCAAAAATTGGCTAGAACTTGACAAAGAATAGATCTATTTGAGGCAGCTCTATGTACATTAAGATAATAACTAAGAAATAAACAAACTTTTCCAAATACTCTCAGCTTTCTGCTTTTCGATTTGAATACATGTTCTTTAAATTTGAATGAAGAACACAATTCTTTGTAAAAATATGTTTTCTTCCAATATATGTCGAGCTAGAAAATTTGCCTTTATGGAGCCTGCCAGGATGAAATACACAAATAAAGAATTCAGCGGTGTGGTCTAGCAGTCTTGCTGAAATTTAATGTCAACAACTCCAAAGAGTGTTTTAAACAAACATAGATAACAAATAAGTATCAAGTATCACGGTATTCCAAATGCAAGTATTTGTCCCATTTCGATGTGATTTTTGCGAATTACTTTCGGTAATTCACCAAGGGGTGTCCGAAATCATCGCACGTACTGTTCTAAAGTAGACACTAACAAAAGGCCACGTTTTTAAATGTTGGCACGATATGGTGCCTTTGGTTCCCAAGAAAAAGAGTCAATGTGCCCTAAATTAGAAACAATGGGCGAAGCTATTACGTAATCTATTTATTACATATCCTGTATAATGTAGTTGGAACGTAACTCTTTAAATATTATATCAATAATCCCTGGAGTTTAAGGCTTTGGGAAATAATCTATATTAATTTTGTTTCTAAGACATTAAAAAAACATAAATTTTTAATTTAATCAAATCTTTTCCTACATTTCTATTACATGTGACTGAGTTTTACTCGTACGTGTAGTTTTGAGTTTCATTGGAATTTAATTCTGGCGATTAACTCTTGTATAAAGTGGAAACCATAAACGTCGCCAAACAGATCAAATTTGAAGATATTGGAAAGTTGTTCAAGGACAGAAGTTGTTAATGCATGTTACCGTTCACCATTCTTGGCACCGACTGAAGCAAATCCAGGTGTCCACCATTCAAATTAATAATTTAACAAAATAAACACGCTGTCATGCAATCTTATGATAAAACAACAGTCAGATAGTTTGCAATGTCTAAAATAAAAGCGTTTTTTATTGAAATAAGTGTTCTGAGCAACATTTAGTTTATTTATGATGTTTTTACAATTGTGAAAAAATAAAAACGTATTGAAGGATTCTTATCGTCGTTTTTTTCACGATGTTTCAATTGCATGTTTTTGCTTTATTCCAGAAAGAGATGACCACATCTGGCCCATAACGTATCAAAGATATTTGCTTACTATGGTTTGTTACACAAGTTAAATGGTCTGTTAATTTATAACAGTATGCAAGTCTATTTAAAGTAAAATTAAAAACGATACAAGTGTTTGCCTATTTCGATGACGAAGTTTTGCTATATTTAACATCAAATAAATCTGAACTGACCTTTAACGACCCTTTGAATTTAGATCTCAGTTAAAATACACAAGTCTACAATAAACAAAACAAATACAGAAGAATCATTCAAATGGATCGAGTAACAATCACCCTAAAATGTGTCAAAGAGTTGAAACAAGATGTCAGTGAAGAAAGCTGTATATCTAAATAATTCGTGTAACAAAACACTTTCACTGTAGATGTATGTATGCAGAAGCTAATGGCAATTGTTAATATAAATGTGCACAAAACAAACTTGAGAAAAAAATGAAATGGTCTCTAGGTTTAAAATGTTTCATGTTTAAATGTTGAATTCCGCTTAAGTCGGCGCTAAGGGGCGAGAACGGTAACTTTCACTTTCCAGTACTGTCCATGAACATGCTTAATCAAGCCCACCCTGCAACGTTTTCTATTTTGTCGTTTTTGGCATTCTTTTCACTACTTTAATTAATGCTGACTACTTTAATTAATGCTGATACATGCGTTATGATGACAATGTGACGTAATTTCTTGAAGAAACAACCTTTTAATGAAAATTAAATTTAGAATGAAGAAGAAACAATGTAATATTTTTCCAGTCTTTTTAAAAAGTATAGAATTTATATTATAACAAAGATTGTATTTATAGTAAGAAAAATCAACAAAATATGAAAAGGAAGGGCGACCTAGACCTTTGCGTTTAGGGCGTGGCTAGTTCAATCTACCTTACAGCCCTATTGAATAATGGTCCAGACAAGGGGACAGCATTTTGACGCAATACTTTCCAGTGATAAATGATCCTAGTAAAATTGAATTTTTGTGTTAGTAAGTAGTTATTTGAATTTATTTGAAAGCTTATGAATAAGAATTTAAAGTTGGTCTTGTTAGTGGTTGTGACAGGCGTACACAAGTAGGTTGTACTTTTAGTAATTTTAAAAGGGGTTTGCAATGCTGCAAATGTGGAAGTTCAAAATTACATTATCTGATATTTAGGCGCCAATGAATTTTACTGATATAACTGATTCAACGATGCTATTGTGCATGGTTTATTGTCTTTGGTATTTGAATCTTTCGGTTTTTGTTTTGTTTTCTTTTGCTTTCATTTTGATGACATTGCATTTTGAAGGATTCAATTGTATGTGTTACTACATTCGGGTGAGACTTGTTGTCTTTGGCATAGGAGAAAGAAACTTCAGATTAAGAGAGATACATAGCTGTGTCATAAGCAAAGATTCGAACTTAAAGAGCGTTTAACAAAGACAGATGGATCAATAATTTAAATTGATAAGAAATAATGGAGACCAAAGGACAGATGCCTGGATGACACCTCATATATAGTAGTTGACATTAATTAAGCCGTGCACCACAACTGACTGAGACCTATTGTCTAAGAAATACTAAATTCATTTGAGAGTTTCGTCCCTTATATCATTAAATTGCAGCTTATATTGACCATGTCAAAGCTTTTGAGGTGTCAAAAACTATGAGGTCAATTTGACTTTTTTGATAGACAGATTAAAATATATCATTAATTTACGTTAGAGGTCGAATTCGAAAGAACGACAGAATCTCTTTTCTAAAGCAGTCAGCAATTCATAGAATATGTAATTATAATGGAGAAAACAGTGTGTTCCAGTGTGATAAACAGAAAACAAGTAAAAGATATATTTGAGCCTTTCTTATATACAGGTAATGCATTCGCCATTTTGCAAGCATTGTGCTTGTTTGCATGTACTTTTGGAAAAATTTAGTCAAAATGGAAGCTATTTCTCTACTTATTTCTTTAAAACAATCGGTATTATTTGGGTTGACCCTGCAGCATTATGAGGATTGAGATTCCTGTGAAGTTTTCAGTGTCTTTTTCCGACATTTAAATATATGGCATGATTCTATGGACTATCTATTTATCGGCGCGTCATGCCATCGAGCCACAAAAGAAAGTTTTAAAAATGAAGTAAAAGAAGACATTTATAAAATATTGTATACATATAGAATAAAAGGTGGGAAATGTAAAGGGTTTGTTAAAATTAAAAGCAGTCTTGCAATCTGTTATGTTGATATATGTTCGTTCAATTTGGCTAACAGTCGCTCAATCAAACCGAGTCTGCAACATTTTCAATTTTGCCGTTTTGGACTTTTTATGGATTCCTATTTTTATCTATTTTATTGAATTGGCTAAGTGTGGGAATTGTTGTAAGCTGTTGCAGTGGAAAACTGTTCTTGAAAGGTAAGACTGTCTGGACTTTTATTAACGTATAACTCAGCATGTGGGTATGTCAGAAAGCTCTCGCTAATGTTGTAAGATAATAACCTGTGGGGTAGCGACTTTATCATTAGTGAGTTTGTACATCATGGAGCCTACATTAATTACGACAACGATATAGTTTGCGCTATTTAAGAGACTATAGCATCTGGGTGACATTGGTTTTGCGTCCAAAGTCAGATTTGACCCAATGCGCATTTCATTTTTGGACAATTAATATTTGATTAATTTGAGTTTGACTTGGTGGGGGTTCAGACTTCAGATGCATATTTTTGTTGTAGGTCTTATGTGCAATGACCTTAACTAAGGAGTAAGGAGTACACCTTTTTACATGTATTACGGCGTTTGCTTTGTGTTTTTAATTGACTTCTTTATGGTTTCGTCCCATGAGAGATTATTTGATATATCTTCGCCCTGATATTTAGCCTGTGAAACCGCCTCTGGACTAGTTCCATGAACACAATAATTAGTTGATACAGGATGTTTCTTCTTGTGACGTGGATTATTTGACATTTTGATAGGTCAAACTCCATTTCAATTCAACTCCTACTTTTCTAAAGTATTCATAATCATTTTGGAAAGATTTTCGATTGCTGACCCGGCTTTCACTAACGTACTCAAAGTCAAAATATCAGCTCTGAAAATCCGACATTTTTCCTCACCCAGAAACTTAAATTGAGATTTTAGGGTTAGGTATATATAGCAGTGTTATCAGCAGATAGCCGAAGATTTGATTGAACGTCCTGTGGTGGGGCCTTTTTCGATGTAAGAAAGAAAAAGGGGTCCAAGCACCGATCCCTAGGGACTCCAGAAAAAAAACGGTATGGCTTTAGAGGAGGATACGTCCAATTTTTCGGACAGACTGGAGCTTATAATCTAGGAAACTTTTGATTAATTTAAGTGTTTTACCTCTTGTGTCATAGTAATGTACTAATACAAGAAGGTAATGTACTAGATCTAGCATCATAGGTTGCGTTACACATGATCTCTTTTTTACGAAAATCATATTGGAATCAGTTGGTATATCTATAATTCCCAGGTTTGTGAAATGCTTTGTGATTGAAAAGGCGACAATGTGTTCTGGAGTTTTACAGAGTTCATGTGTCAGGGAAATTAGTCTGTAGTTAGACGTGTCACCCTCTTAATATTGTGCCTACATTTGCAGACTTGTATGTATGTAGTTAATGATTAATGAGGGACCATCCGCCCGCAAGGGTAAAAAATGCAGCTTTCGCTCTCGAGTACGGACCCCGGACATGTCACCAGTCATGCCCTTAAAGAGTTAATTTTGAAACACAAAAGTGGTGATAATTTACCTCCATGCAATTTCC